TCTCGTTTGAATATTTAATCTTTATATTCTATATTTTTTTTCAATATGAATAATTTATTTAAATTGAAATCAATCGAAAGGTGGATGAAACGCAAAAAAAAAAAAAAAAAAAAAAGAAAAAATAAGGATTAAAGTGACACGTGATGGAAATTCGATCATCGAATGAATCATCGGGGAGTAAGAAAAAAATTTAGTTATCGCGTAAAATATAGATGAAATTCCAATGGGAATGATTTTTCTTCGTGATCGAAATTTTGATAAATGAAAAAAAGAAAAAAAAACTAAACAAAAATATCTCGAATTTAAAAGAAAAAATGTCGACGAGAGATTGGTGGTGGTTCGCATTAAATAAAGAGCATTACTAATTTACTCTTTGGGATTTCAATAAATTACAATATTTTCCAATTAATAATAAAAAAAAAAACGGCGAGAACGTTGTTTAAATTAATTGCAAATGAATTTTCGATAAAAGAAATGAGAATGAAAAAATAACAAAAGAGACAAGGAAAAATTAGGATAGGACAAATAAATAAATAAATGTGAAAAAAATAATGTGTGTGTGCGTGTGTGTGATAATAATAATAGAATTATAAAATGTCAAGGTGATTTAATTAAATTCAAATCGATAAATTCTCATGATCGATAATCTCGATAACTGAGAAATGTTGGATTTTTGTTATTGGTTTTTTAGAAGAAACTCGTTTGTATCCTGCGGATTAAATACACATATAAATATATATATTCATACATATAATATGTAAGTAAAGTAATCTTTTACAATTAGAGATACAATTTTATTTCTATATACGTGTAGAATAAATATGTATATTTGTATAGAAAAATCCGTCGCGGTTTTACGTTGATCATTTATCGGATCGGAAGGAGTGTCTGAACGTAAAACGAAGGTCGTGTGTGTTATTCATCATTATTGTCGCGTATAAAGAAGTGAGTTGGTTTATTATGCGTAAGTATATTTTATTGCTTGTATAAACTATGACTTCTTTAACCTCGTTTATTCATGGTAAAATTAAAATCACACACACACATATATATATATATATATATATATATGTATGAATATGTACATGCAGCTGACAATACACGTTCTGTTGACAATGACAAATATTTTCTATTATTTTATTTCTTCTACTTTTTTTTTTTTTCTTGATTTTTCTTCGATGACGTAGCCTATACTACCCTCTTTTACATTTATTATATATATATATAAATAATATAATAATAATTA